CTGAAAAAGTATTTTCTTGCTACAAAATTGAATGCCTCTTACTTCAAACAGTCGCTGGTCGGCATCGTCAAAGGGTTTCCCATCAAGCCTGTTCAATACTTGAGCTACCCCTTTAGAAAGAGTTAATATGAATTATAATCTTCATTCATTAATTCACAATGCAGAATATTTTACTCATTGGCAACATTTAAAATACATCTTTCAAACTGAAAAGCAAAACTGCAAATATTTATTCTGAAAATCATTAGACAGACATAAACATGTGAAAGTCTGACTGCTTTGATACCAGGACTCAGTTTATTACTTTCAACTGTTATTCTTTACTCTCCAAGTATAATATTGCAAATCTAAAAGTTACTCACAATGCCTTTCACAAAAGGTTAAAGATCTCTTTGGGAAAGAACTTGAGCATTTTGCTAACAGCACTCATGTAAATTCTCCTAGCAATTTAGAGTTACTAATATAATTTGCTCAATCAGTACCTTAATTCCTAAAATCTTAGTTGGTTTAGCATCACCTGGGTATATAAGTCCTTTTTTCTCATGACTGGTCCATAAATTTATTGAACATTTTTTCATTGAAAAAAGTAATTTCCTTAAACCACTTCAAAAAGAAAGTGTTCAAAGCTCTTGGCTCTAGCTGAACTAATACTGAGTTCTACTGCAACAAACCATTTCTATTTCATTTAGCTATGATATGCCCTTAGAAAAATACTGTAAGAGCTATCAGCAGTCAAAGCTCTGTTTCTTTCTACTTCCTTAAGGTAATACGCACTTCACAAGAAACAATGAGCCATATTTTTAACAGACTCAATTCCCACATCACCTCTGCTGAACAAGCTCAAAGATCCTGATCCTGCATGGCACCGAGTGCCTTCAGCAATGCACTACGGATCTCAGCTCTCACTGACAGCCACTACACACAGGGATGTAAGCCTTGCCTTGCTGGTTTAAATTGCTATTGCTTTGACTTGAATTATTCTGCGGAAAGTTGGAGAGGAATCTGGCACTGTTATTTACAAACAGCACTCCTTTTTGTGCCAAAAGCAGGTAATAACGCAGGGCCAATTGCAGGTGTATCATAGCTGAGAAGCATTGTATCAAACAAGCAATAAAACCCTGTCACGTCCTGATCCAGCACACACTACTGCCACAGGCAACTCTGACAGCTGCCACAGCCTCTTTTGGTAAGTCTTCCCTGACTGAGTAGTTTATCATTACAGAGGGAAATGACCACTTTGCTGGACTGCAGAAACAGTTGCCCGAGTTGCATACAAAAAAGGGAGACCCAAGACAAGTATCAAAGCATATCAAACATTTTTCACTAATATTGTTAGAATTTCTGGTTTCATCTCATTAGTCTTCAAGTTTCAATACAAAATATAACTTGACAATGACACAATGGGAAAGCTGAAAAAGTCCATACAGTATCCAAGTCAAAACATCCCTTCTTGGATACTTAGCATGCATCCTAGGTACCGTAACTTCTTAACAATATTCAGCTGGGAAAAAGAAGAAAAAGGAACATAGAATTAAAAAGACAGAATTAAATTTACATTAGCAGAAAAACGATGCAGCTCTGAGGAAGGTCTTACCGATTATTTGGTGGTTGCTATTCCATATAGGAACACAGAGAACAGACCTTATGTGAAAGCCAGAAATCTGGTCAGCCTAAAACATAGAAATGAGAGCTTCCATTAGCAGTAGGTACCATTTGCAGCCTTTTACGTTCTAGTAATAGAAACGTCAAGGAGTAAGTTTACATTTACAAGTGTCATTCCATACAGACCAGCTCTGCCTCAGAAAAAAATTTCTGCTGAAACCTCATTCACAGTAAGATTAACCAGAAGTCACAAGGATTATTCTAAAAATTGCCAAAGAAAATACAAACATTGCCATCTTTGCCACAGAAAGCTTACACTATTTGACTTCGATTTGGAATTAAAGACAAACTGCAACTGAGGGCAATGTCCAGACAACTCCTGGATTACTTACACTGGTGGATTAGTAGAGACAACCTCCACCGAATAAGTGTGCCTTAGAAATAC